TATATATATACATACACATGTATATAGTTTGCATGTTTGTAGCAATACACTACCACCAAGGAACAAGAAAGTCAGTATAACGGGGCTAAGTTATTGATGCCCTTGCTGGAGCAAGTCAGAGGGTAGAGGTACCTGAGCCCTGCAGGTGCCCTCGGCTGCCATGCTGTCCCCTGCAGGTTTCTGAAGAAAGCCAGCAGCTGTATGGCAGAGTTTTCACTGTCCCACCTGATTCCTCAAAGTCACCTTGACAAGCACAGCCTGAGTCTCGTCAGTGCTCAGGAGGCTGCTGGAGGACAGGCCTGTGACGTGGGCTGAAGGGGCGCTGTCAAGACAGGCACCAGTGCAGGGCTTGGGCTGAGTCCTATGAAGTGCGTGCGTGCGTGCGTGCGTGCGTGTGTGTGTGTGTACACGTGTGTATGCACCATATCCCATGTCCTTTTCAGATAGTCCCCGTCATATGGCCGTCTGCTGTGTTACTACAAGTCCCCGGTGGTCCAAGGGGGCTGGAGGAACACTGCTGTTTCCACGTCTCGTAGCACCCCAAGTTTCAGCTACTCAGCCCCTCAGCCTCACCCCCCATTAGCTGTGAGCTATGAGTTAGGGTGCCGACGAGCCACAGAATGATCATACTTGAGCTTCTAAAAGTGAACTACCCCCTCGAAATCCGCACATTTGTTCAAGTACATATTTTAATACTGGATAATATTGAATAAATTATATTTGCTAGGAAAATAATATTTACACATTTCATTGCCAGTTGGCTTTTAGAAAATGTGTTATTTCCATTTCTGCCTGGTTTCTGCTATCTACATGTGTTTAAGGTCCATTTCCTCTGCCATCAGAAACTGTACTTTGTCAACAACAAAAATACTGGGGAGATGGCTCGGTGGGATAAGCACTTCCCTGGCAAGCACAAGGGCCTGAGTTCAATCCCTAGTTCTGACCAAAAAAAAAAAAAAAAAATTCAAAATACTGCTTCTCCTGGTTTCTAGATCGCATTTCAAGCAGGATGATAACGCTTAATCTGTTATAGTCAGGCATTGTCCCTGTCAAATGAAACATCCACTTTTAATTTAGCTCATAGAGAAACATTAAAAGGGTCATTTTTGTTTTGAAACCTTCCTAATGATGAGTACAATCAACATTATTTGCTCTGAGTAAACATTGCCTGGTGATGCAATGGGATCGCAGTCCTCTGGGTGCACATGCCCAGGCCCTGCCTGGAGGCTCCTGGGCTGCCCAGGCGGCTCCTGGTTGCCGCTGTAGAGCAGGCCTGCGCGGCGGGCGTGACTAGTTGCCCCCCGGGGGGTGCAGATGCCCTTCCGGTGCGCTGTGTGCTCTACCTGTGCCGTTCGCCTGCGCAACCCAGTGGGCGTCTTCTCACGCGTGCACATGCTTGCGGATGAAGCTTTTTATGGGGATGACACCGAAGAACCTGAGCTTTAGCCGGGAAGAGGAAGAGAGGGCTTTTTCTCGGTCCTGCCCTGTTTCTTCACCAGCCAGAGGAAATACAGTGGCTCTTACCCATCCCTAGTCTAATTGCGGGAATGTTGCGGCCCACAGCAATAAAGCTCAGAGTGTCACAGGCGCCCGGCGCGGGAACTGGAAGCAGCTGCCGCGTAGGGGACACCTCAGCTGTGTCCGGTGGGTTATTTATACTTCCTGGTGGGTCAGTGGACAAAGTTGACTTCTGATACGTGTTTTTTGTTTTCTATCCTGATAACAGTGTTAATGGCCCGGGGTGAAGCGCTCGGAGATTTCACTGGCCCGGACTGTCGCTTTGTGAATTTTAAAAGGGGTGACCCTGTATATGTCTACTATAAACTGGCAGGTGTTTTGCCTGAAGTTTGGGCTGGAAGTGTAAGTAAAACTTGGATGTGTTTTATGTTCTTCCTTTGGTAGAGTTGTTGAGCAGTGTAGACTTAGGTGACCGTTTTCTTGGGGTCTTTGAGTTAATCCCTGGAATCTGCTGGGCTGAGGACAAGGTGCCCTGCGTTCCCAGCAGGCCCGGGGCCTGACCCAGCGCAGGTTTCTGAAACAGAACAGAACCCGTTCTGGCTCAGGCCCGTTAGCATGAAGTCGGGGGTGCTCCAGACAAGAGAAAAGTTGGAGTGGTAACAAGTGTTCATTCTACTACTTCCTTCAAAAAAAGAAGGCTCTGCAGGTGGCAGACGGGAACTGCAAGCTTCGCAGGCGAGCACCTCGGCCCTGCAAGTTTTAAGCTGACTTTGCGAGTCTTCATTTTATTTACATGTGCTGCCCTGTCTATTTTTATTGCAATTTCTGGGTGAGATTTTGTTTTTCTTTCAGCCACATCATGCTGGCAGGGACCCCCAGGAGTTCTGTCCCAGCCCAGTTAGTGAGTGCCCTGAAATCAGACATGGCAGCCCATGACTGCATGGCGCTTCGATAGTTCTAATGAGGGATTTACTGTGAGTGATCTGAAGAATCTTTTTTTGGGAGAAGCAGAGGGTATAGGGTCTCACTATGCAGCCTGGCCTCGAACTCCCAGTGACCGTTCTGCCTCAGCCTCCTGAGTGCGGGGCTGACAGGCATGCAGAACCACGCCCAGCAGATGGAGAACTGTAAGTCCTGACCTTTCCATTTCACAAAGTGTGATAGGTGGACCACCCCCAAGGAGCCAGGTGCTCGATGGCCTTGGGGTTGTTCCAGCTTCGGACACCGTCCATCCCAACTCTGACAGTTCTCACCCTCAGTAAAACACCAAACAAGCAGCAGAAAATAAGGCTTGAGAAAGCCTGCAATACAAATAGGTTTAAGTTGTCCATCAGAGTCCTCGGGAAGAATCCCAACCGGTCAAGCAGTCAGGAACAGCATTTCGCAGACTGGTCCTGGTAAGGGTTTTGAGCGCTCGTTCCCACACAGCAGTTAACAGCTTTCTCATTCCTCACCCTTGCGTTTTTGGGTAGCAGAGCTTGACTTGCATTTTCCTGCCCCCACACCAAGGCTCCCTCAGGTAGCCACCTCTAGAAACCTGCTTCTCCCTGGGACCAGCACCAGTCCTGCCCTCCGAGGGAACTGTGCCCTCAGCACTGGCCAGAGGCTCTGTGCTCGCAGCCCGTGTTTGGCCTCCTGTTGGCATCGCCCAGCGGCACTTCGTGCTGCGGCCAGCTGGGTGCCCGCTGAGTTGCTGGGAAGGGCAGGGATCCCTCTGCCTTCCTTCTGCAGCAGTGCTTGGTGACACGCACTCTGAGGAGAGCGCACGTGGAGCCTGCTCCCTGCAGCAGCACCACCCCAAGTCAGATCAGCAGTGCTCTGCTGGGGAGGTGCACGGAAGCAAAATTAGACCTGGAAACCTCCCCGCGGCGAGATCCCTGATTCTGCACCATTTTTTTGTCAGATTGTAAGAAACGTGAAAGCACCATGTATAATCACAGAGCTTTATGTAACCCAAGGGCTCCGTGGCAAAGATTAAGCAAAGACAGATGCTTGTCCTTTCCACGTATCTCTGCTGTCCTCCTTATCCCGATTTGACCCTAACAGAAGTTCCGCAGAAGGAATGGGGTCTCTCCCCTGCAGCCCTTCTCACTCCATGGTCCTGACCTTGGGAGATCAAGGTTCCTAGGTTTTGGTTGGGATTCTTAGTTCGGGTTCTTAGTTCTCATTCTGCACTCTTCGTGGTTTCCTGTGGTTTCAGACTTTATCTGCCAGTAACACAGCTTTTCCGTGTCCGGCTGTGTGTAACCTTCGTGGCAGAACTCTGCTGCTAGTGCAGCTCTCACGTGAGCTCCAGACAGCAGGAGCCCGCCTTGTGGCTGGATATTGTAAGGTTAGGGATAGTTTTGTGCATTTTGTTTGTGCATCTTCTTTAATGATGGGAAAGAGGTCTGTGGCTCCCTCACAGCCTACAGTGTGGGTCTCAGGGACACTTTATTTGTTATTATTATTTCTTTATTTTTTAACGTATTTAGGACAGGGTCTACAGGGTCTCACTATGTAGATCGGACCCCTAGTGATTCTCCTGTTTTCAGTCTCCCAAGAGCTGGGATTATAGGTGTGCGCCGCCACGCCCGATCTCAATTGTCACTGCAGTGTGCACCGGGGGCAGAGCCGGCACAGCACACCAGGATCAAGCCCCGGCTGCTGCGCTCTGCCTAAGCAGGCGCTTTAGTCTGCTGAGCTATCTGGCTGGCCCTCAGGGACACTTTCCATACATCTGTTGTATAGCTTACCTGCTGGTGTGAAAAGCGAAGGGATTTTGTTCTACACAGGATTTATTTTGCATCTGAAGCTTGCTAAAAAAAAAAAATCCGAAGCTTGGTATGCATTACATTGCAAGTGTATGTTCTCCCTCCTGTAGTTTCTTGGAAAGCTAGGCTAGCACATGTCAGTAGAGGCCATTAGATGCAAGGGCCATGCATCTCAGAAACTCTGTCCTCTTGTCAGTTTTCATAGCTGTTGTGCCTTGGCTTATGAAACACATGCGTTAGTTTGTTAGCAATTCAGTGAGGTGTCTGGGTCAGTTGCTGCTGGAGGTTATTTGGAGTTGTGTTTCTAATGGGCTTTGATTTGTGTAGTTTTAATCATGTAATACAAGTGTGCCGGGGAGATGGCTCAGTAGAATAAGGACTCTCCTGGCACGCGCAAGGGCCTGAGTTCAATCCCTGGTTCCGGAAAAAAAAAAAAAAAAAAAGACTCATGTAACACACAGTAATCTATGCAGATCTTTTGCTTTCTTCTACAATCTAACTTTCTGCACTCTGATTAGAATTAAGCTGAATATACAGAAAACTTTATTGATTTTAGAACCATTTAACAGTATTCTGCACTTAATTTTATTTTATTGGGATATAATCTCATAATAATAAAGGCAATGGTCTAGCTCTTTTGGTTCTACCTACCTACCTATCTGTTTATTTCCTGTCTTTTTTTTTTTTTTTTTTTTTTTTGTGGAACCAGGGATTGAACTCAGGCTCTTACGCTTGCCAGGCAAGTGCTTATTCTACCGAGCCATCTCCCTGGCCCCGATTTCCTGTCATGTCTAAGAAGCTGCTCATTCATATTCCTCACACAGAATTTGATTGCTGTTTTTCCCTTTGCCATTTTTTTTTCATTCAGGTTGGGCGTAGTTTTGGGTATTTCCCAAAGGATTTGATCCGGGTGGACTATGAGTACACCAAGGAGGAGCTACAAGTCCCAGCAGATGTAAGTTGCGGGCTTTGATTTTGTTCTCAATTATAAATTGACTTATGAATTTCTCAGTTATGTTTCAGGTAATTGTTTTTTTGCAAGTTTGTTTTAGTTGAAGAAAAAACAATGTAACATATATGTCAGATTTTAACTTGGAATCGGACTACCTGTAAAATGAGCAAAGTTTGAAAAGCATTTATGGAAGAACATACCATGATTTGATTTTTAGCTAACACAGGAAACCAATATTGTCACTAGGGGCTGGGTAGTCACTAGGGCGCTTCTCTGTGTGTGAAAATTAAGTTTTAACACCTTTGTGCGCAGTTATTAAATGTAAGGTGTAAATAACTTCATTTTATAAGTACATTGAATACTACTAAACGTACTACTCATTGAGTACTATTAGACATCTTCAGTGTACAGTGATAAGGATAAATTAATCAAGCTCTAATTTGATTAAGAGTGAGCTAGAAACACCAACTTCTTATTGGACAGTGACCTGTGGGGCCACCTTCTGTCACTGGTTTGGCGAAGGGAGCCTGTGGGCTGGGTCTTAGAGCCCGTCTGACGGTGATGGGCAGGCACCAGTTGCACTGGCAACCGTGTATCCCCCCACCCCCCGCGTCTCTGAGGCCCTGACTTCCCAGGATTTTGGGTCCTAGGATCCTGATCCCAGCTGGTTCTTTCCTGGAGGTCTAAGTTTTGCAGTAAGGGACATCTACCCTTGCTGAGCCACCTGGGTGGCCCTTGGGTGGCTGCAGAGCACATGTGCTGGGGGACAGACCAGTCCCTAGATGAAGTCAGAGCTGTTGTTCATGGGCTGTCACTGCTTGGCCTGCTGGCTTCGCTGTCACTGAGAGATGGCCTGGGAGGTGCGTGGGAGACAGGAGGACGAGGCCATAGAGGCCTCACCTGCTTCGGCCTCTGCCCCACACTGAACACCCTTCCCTTTACGCTGAAAAAATGGCCCTGAGCGCATCTCAACATCCAAGGGAACGTAGGCGCCAAGCACCACGGAGACTGGGCCTGGCAGAAGGCGCCACTGCCTGACTTAGGGACGGAGCAACGCAGCGTGAGGGCACACAGCTCTGCTTCTCCTGGACGTGAGGCATGGCTGTGAGGAGCTGGGGAACGTAATAAACGACACCCCCTTCCTCCATTTGTGCTCAGAACAGACTGAGAGAGCAGGAGTCAGACAGACGGAGACCAAGATGTCTCCATTTTTATTCATTGTGCTTTTAGAAAACATGGCTATGCTTTGTTTAAAAAAAAAAAAAAAAGGTAAACATAATGGCATAATGGGCTGCAGTCCAGCCGGGGAGATAGCTCAGTAGAATAATCGCTTGCCTGGTAAGCCCAAGGGCCTGAGTTTAACCCTTAGTTCCACAAAAAAAAAAAAAAAAAAAAAAAAGGAAAAGAAAGAAAAAGAAACACTGCAGTCCACAGTGAGGGAGACTTACTCAGCTGCAGATTGAGCCAGCCACCTGGGGGCCAAGGGTGGGTGTAGCTGCTGTGGACAGTGGGCTCTGACTGCTGCCCAGGAACAGCCATGGCCAGGGTTGCCCCAGCTACCCAGCACCAGGGCCGGGTGTGGGATTGTGTCTGTCACCACACGCAAGAGCTGGTCTGCGACACATGGTCAGTGACATTAACATCTCCTTTTCCTTTCCAGGAGACGGACTTCGTCTGTTTTGATGGGGGAAGAGATGAATTTGCCAGCTATGATGTAGAAGAACTCTTAGGGTTTTTGGAATTGTATGATTCTGTAACGGAAGATTCTTCAGAAGGCTTTGCTAAGGAGGTGGCCCCCAGTGGAGAGAAGCCCCCTTCCGAGCCCGGGCCTGTAGACAGCGAGGTCGAGGGAGGCACCCAGGACCTTGGGGAGCCCCAGCCCCCCACAGACCCAGGCCAAGCCCCAGCCCCAGCGCCAGTCCCAGCAGAGGGCCCTACCTCAGAGGCCTTCGAAGAAATGTTGCAAGAGAAACTGAAAGTGCCAGAAAGTGAGGGCAACAGAACTGGCTGGCGTCCCCAGGCCTCTGGGGAGCGGAAGCCGGATGCCTTCAAGTTCCTACAGAAGGAAATGACTCTTGACTTGAAGACCAAGTTTGGCTCTACAGCAGATGCCATGGTGTCTGATGATGAGACGACAGGACTGGTGACCTCCCCGGAAGAGGACTTCGACGGGGCGCTGGACACCAAGTCCTATGCCATGGAGGGTGGGGAGGTGAACGGCAGAGGCCTTGAGGAACTGCCGCTCCTGACCTTCACTGACTCAGAAGATCCCGGCCCTGCAGTGGGGCCTGGGCCAGAGAAGTCCTCAGCAGAGGAGGCGCAGAACTCGGGGAAGGGGGAGGGCAAAGGCCCAGCAGCTCCGCCCCCTGGCGTGGGGACTGGTGATAAGAACATACTGACCACCTGGGGGGACACTCTCTTCTCCATTGTCGCAGGAGGTGATGGCAGGCCCAGTGTGTCACATCTGGAGGGCTCCGATTCAGAGGAAGAAAAGGAAGATGGTGATGCCGCAGGCCCAGAGAGCAAGCGGAGGAGGCCGCGCACACCAGCAGATTCTTTAGACCCTGAAACTGCAGGTGACTTTTTTGTAGAAGTCTTTAAAACAAATGAAGAAAATGACCCAGGAGTGGACACAGAACCTCCCAATGAAGAAAAAGGCAGGGAAATCCAGGAGCCTCCAGTACAAGATGAGGCCCAGTCGGAGGGAGTGAGGCCAGAGGGCGTGGATGGGCAGAGCACTGTGCCCACCGCCAGGAAGGGCAGAGACCCCCTTCCCCTGGCCTTGGAGAGCAGAGGTGGTGACTCTCAAGAAGCTGGTGTCCCTGGCACAAAAGATGCACTCCAGGAAGAAGGATCTGGAGTGGAGATTTGGGCGGATGGCTCACAGAGCGGCTCAGAAAGCGGCGAGGTGCAGGAAGCTGCAGGCGGTGAGCCGGGAGGGGAGCACTCGCGGGAGCCCTCCAGGCCCAAGCTGCCTTCTGGGGCCGATCCACCCCACAGTGGGTCGGAAGCCAGTGTGCCCGCTGCAGGGGGCTCAGCAGGGGGGCCCGACCTGCACCCCAGTGTGGCACAGCACCCTCCAGGGGAGCGCAGTGAGGAGCCAGCCCTTAATGCCCAACATCAACCTCAGTTTTCTGCTCCAGCTGCTGCGGGTTTGTCAGGAAAATCAGAAGAGGAGGTCATAGCTCTAGGAGGAAATCTCTCCAGGCCACCACAGAGAGATGCGGATTACCAGGGGACGGAAGAGACAGAGTCAGCTGTAGGCTTGGACTCCGGCCAGGCCCAAGCAGAGCAGAGGGCAGGAGAGAGGGGCCCGCAGGAGGGCTCGGCAGCGGCTCCAGGCTCCCCAGCTGTGGAGACAGAGGGGGAAGAAATGCAGGAGGAGGAGGAGGGAGGGGAGGAAGAAGAAGAGGAGGAGGAGGAGCTGCTGGAGGATGAAAATGCTGCAAGTGCCAAGCAGTCTCAAGATACCCGCCAGGAATTCTGGGGCTGGAAGTCCCCTGTCGGTCCCAGAGGCTCCGCGGAGGCACATTTAGGGACCATTCAACCTGATCCAGGAACCAAAGAAGACCAACAACCGAATGGGCCGTTTGGGACTGAAGAAGAAAATGCTACTGCAGCAGGAGAGGAAGGCAGCCCAGGGCCAGGCGGCACGGAGGTGGAGGCCGAGGATGGAGAGCCCCCAGCACAGGCCAGGGACAGAGCCCAGGCGGAGTCAGAGCCCAGCGGCCCTGCAGGTCGCGACAAAGGCCCCTGGCCAGGGCTGGGCGAGGCGCTGCAAGCAGACGGCCCGGGGGCTGTGGGACTGGATGGGGACAGCGCAGGGTCCGCGGAGGGGTTCCCGGGGGAGCTCTCTGAGGAGGCCGGGGATACGGGGCACCTGGGGCCCACCTCTGCAGACCCCGGAGACGAAGACCCGTCCTGGGGGCGTCCCCATGCTGGGCTGGAGCCAGGGCTGGACAGCGGTGGGGAGGACTGGCCCATCGTCCGCAGCTTCTTCAAGGAGCAGCAGACCTGGCGGCGCTTCCTCAAGTACCTCGACGCCCGCGCTCTGGAAGCCATGCTGCAGGACATGTCCTCCAAGCTGAGGGCTGCGCGGCAGGAGAGCCTGCCCTACAACGCGGACAAGGTGCTGGACAAGGTCTTCCGGGCCTCCGAGGCCCAGATTCTGAGCGCAGCAGAGAAAATGCTCGACACCCGCCTGATGGAAAGCAGAGGCCCGGGGCCACAGGAGAGTAACAAGCTGGAGGAGTACGCAGTGCTGGACGACGTCCTTGACCTGATCTACTTCGTCAGGTACAGGCACTTGGCGGAGGAAGAGCGCCCCCCGCTGGCCGCGGCGCCTGCACTGGAGGAAGGCTGGAGTGGACCCGCCGCAGGTAGATGGCCGCTCCTGGGGGAGGGGCCGGCCGTGGGGCGGGACGGCGGAGGCCCGGGTCGCCTTCTGCCCTCCAGGTGCGGGGCGAGGGGGCCTTCTTACTCCGACTTCCCTTAGGACAGTTTGAGACCATTAGCATTTTCAGAAAACTTTAGAGAAAGCTAACAGGGAAAATGAAAGATAAAGAAAAGAATGTACAAAGGGACCTGTTCGCAGTTCACATGCAGTTATGGGAACGCGTCACTGAGCAGTGCACACGGCTTCTCCTTTAGCCTTTAAGACAGGATCCTGCTGTTAGTTTAGTTTAAACTAAAACTATGTAGCTCTGGCTGGCCTTGAACTCTGGGGAATCTTGCTGCCTTGGTCTCCCAAATGCTGGGGGCTGGGTCACAGGTGTATGCCACCATACCTGGCTGAACACAGTTTCTTCATATAT